AAATTGGGCAATTTCAGCGTTATGGACGTGACATTTGCAGTCAAAACTTGAAATATAAATTCTCAGAAAATGCATTTAATACCAATATATTTTTATAAAAAATAATAAAATATTTCCTTACTACCTTAACTTAATTAAATGTTTTTTTGCATTTAAATTTTAGTATTATAGCCCAAAATAATTTGCTGTTTAGCATGAACAATGTCATTTCCACCACAACCTGTCTTTACCATCACAATGAACACCGTGGTGGAAATGACTGTGGTGGAAATGACATTTCCTCCCTTTCCCTCTAAAATATCATGCTATGTTAGCCTGCTAATATTCATTTTAGAGTTAGCATTAAATATACACAAATTACACATCATTAAATTAAATTTATCCAGTTATTTTTACGTCCATGTGAAATATGAGCCGTTTGGAAATGACGAACAATAAACATACTCTCAGTTTTACTCATATTTACCTTGATTTTTCTTCTTTACATTACCCCCTAAAGAGGTCACCCTTTCGCCCAGCCATGTGTTCCACTGTGGAGTTTCTGTTGCTATGGTTACTAAGTAAACAAACCTAAAACAATGATCCCAGGATTCTATTTTGTACTGTGTGGTGGAAATGACAGTGAACCCAAGGGACAGGGGTTCTACTTATGAAAAATATAGGAAAATGTTAATAAATATTGCAATATATAATATGTATAATTGAAATAGATATTATTTTATCATTTGTACTTAAAATCTACATTATTTAAATATTTAATTTAGAATTAAGCAAGGTTGAAGGTACAAAGTCTGGCTTAGGGACAGAGGCAAAACAGTAAAAATCATGCATAAAAGGCCTCATAATATATAATAAAAAGAATGATTGAGCCATGATACATTTTTTATAAGCTCCCCTTAGGGTGAAGTAAATGTGCCAAAAACAAAAAAGAAGAAATGTTTTTTAGATTTTATTATTTCATCCAGGGACAAGAAAAGTACCATAGTTAAAGAATCACCCATACACAAGTTTATGAGCCGTTTCCGCTCTACATCCTAAACTCCTCCCGTCGATGCAACCCACTTCCGTTCTGGCGGTCTGGGTTTGTTTTGCTAGCTAGCTTCGACAAAGCGCTGATATCGCAGTGACATAACAATTACAACATGAAGAAAGGTGGTTCGGGAACGATGTGTGTGATAGTTGGTTGTAAACACTCGAGAAAGCACCTGAACGAGTGGTTAGATAGAGAGTTCTACGACCGCAAACCAGCTACGAAGAGGTCCATGCGCTCCATTGTTTACACACAAACACACTCACACAGTATCGCGCCCGCGCCTCTCTCTCACACACAGTTCGATCGCCTAATTATTATCATCATGGCTCACACACACACACACACACTTTGCACTCTAGCTAAGAAGCCTATGATATAGTTCGGATCGTCAGGAGGACATTCACTGACAGCGCGTTCTCTTTTGTCTTGTCGCGCATGAGTGGTTAAAGCATTTGCGTGAATAAGAGAATGGTCATAACCCTAGCAAAAGGATGACAGAAAGAACAGATGTTGCGTTTGCATTAAATATTTTAACACGTTAAAGCTGGACAAAAATGAATCGGGAAAATATTTTTCTCACGGCCGCACGCCGGAGATCCGGCACGGTGGCGAAAAGTGATTGCATTATTTATTGCAATAAGTAGAGGCTTCAATCGTTTTGTTGTAAGTAGAATAGGCTACTGCATTTTAAGGGGTTAGTTTCGACATTTAAAGGTATTTTAACCGGTAAAATGGTTGGTTGGTACACAGCAGGTAAAACAATGCAGAGTCATAAGGATAATTGCAAAAGAGATCATGTCTTTATTTATAGCTCAGCAGTAAGTCATGTTATAGGTTACAGTCCGTTTTCCAAATACAAACACGTATTCCATCCGCAACAACATGCTTCTTTTATTTCCTATAATCATGTAAATGTCTTCCCTGATTAAGCTATAAACTGCAAACACTTATTTAGCCACAATTGTTGTTATTATGTTAAAAGAAACATTAAAGTAACACACAGATACATTTGCTATTACCACGGACATAAACTGATAGTTATTTGCACGTTATGTCTGTTTTATCTAGCTGTGTATGACATGACACAACCGACTTTGTTGCTGTGCAGATATTGATATGCCTCGACGGCTTTCAGATTGTCCAATTGCTTTTCCATCTATTGCCATGGATTGCACGAAGTAGGAGCAAATCTCGCTGTACGTTATGCTGGGCCACGTCGTCATGTTAGTGTTCTGCACTGAATTCGGGTGGGGGATAGTAACGCCATCTCCAGTCGTGGAACCGTCGCTGTGTACACCGGCAGACGCTGTGTGCAAACCTCTTCCGGCGGAAATGAAGTGCATTTAAGTAGAGTTATGGCGGCGCCCATGATTTGGCGCGTAAACTTGTGTATAGCTACGCGATAACCTAAATTAATCTTTAATTTATTCGTTGAAAAAGATTAGGTTTTAAAATTCTAATAATATTTAAAAATGTAAACAACTTACCATTTGAAGCAGATGAAAGTGAAAGTCCGAGTAAAAAAACTACATACGATTTGCACTGCATGATTTTAGTCTTCAAATATTTTGCAAAAATGTAGGCGTACCTGCACAGGTACCAAGAATATGGCTGCGTCTCAGCCTATGTTTAGTTTTTTCATTCAATTTTTCGATTGAACTGGGGTGATGGGTCATTCGTGCACGATCCGTTCATTGCGTCTGTCACGTGACAAAGGAAGAACGACTCGGAAGTTAAAGTAATTATTTATGTTACTGTTAAAAAAGTATAAAATTTAAAGACACTTAAATGAACGAACTGACACGAATTCGTTTATTTTGATGAACGAGATCGAACGTTAAAATGATCCGAACTTCCTATGCGGGACTTCCGGTACAACCATCCGAATCAGGAGAGTCAGTACGTTTTTAGATCATTTGGGATGTGTATTGGTTCATCATAGACTTCTTTACTCACAATGTTTATTTATTTTATTACAGAACTAAAAAAAAAAAAAACAATAAAAATGAATTGATAACCATGAAAGTATTTTAAAAGTAAAGAATGTGCCTGTGTAATGTAAGATGCTCCATTAAACAATCAGAGCAGGTTGACTGTCAGATGTTTTACAGGAAATATGAGCCATTAACTATAGCAGTTGTTCTCAACTAAGGGGGCCTCTGCAAACTTCTAAGGGGGCCTCAATTTGAATCAAAATAATTTAAAACAAGCATAAAAATTTGCCAAACATATTTTCACATGATGATGATGAAGCAATAAATCTAAAAATATGCCCATTAAAAAGAAAGACATGAACTTCTGCACAATCTTACTTGATTTTATCGTAAATCGAAATATAGACTAGGTGACAACATGTAGCCTACCGTGAAAGGAACGGCAGCGAGTGCAGACGTTTGCAATGATATTTTAAAAACAATTTGTATACAAATAATGTATACAAAAAATGTATTAACATGGTGTCTGAGGATATGGCTCTGTGTGGAAAACATGTTAGATTACTAAAATAATGTTTTAATCTGTGATAAAAGATTACACAAAACAAAAGACCAAAATCTTTCATGTAGCCTAATTGCTAACAAGCACATCAGTATTTATTACAACACTAAAATGCACATCAGTATATTTAAAGTGTGAGCTATTGTACTTCTTAATATTGACTTATTATTAGTCAGACTATGTCACATTTCAGATGGATGAAATTGCAAACAGGTTTTGTTTTGGGACAATTGGCATGTTCTCTGATTGCTCACTTTTAAATTGATAAATTAATTGAATTGGTCAGTTGATTATCACCTCAAACGTTACAATAATTAAACAAAAGATTAAATCAAACACCAAAATCTTTAATGTATATTTGCTCTCTCAGTACCCCCCATCATCCAATGGCCTTGTTTCTCATACAAGCAATCAATAAAAATATGAAACAGGCACGTATAGCCAGACAGATTCTCAAAAGAAAACTCCAATGCAAAACAGCAAGCACAATCTATATGATTGCACAAAAACAATATTAGACCCAGCAACACAGTAACAATAAACTACATAGGCCTACAGTGTAATGGTCTGTGTGTGTAGGCTATTCCTTTGAAACCTCTATTTTGGTATGGATGAGGCTATGCCATTCTGTTTTGGTTTTGCGTTTTGTAAAATATAAATCAATTAACAAACCTGTATCCTTTTAATTGCTTAGCACACTATATGTTACAACACCATAAAAAAGACACTTTATAGAAGCCCTCTTGACAACAGAGTTGTCTATAAATAAATTTAAATTCGTTGTAAACAAAACAATATTACGGAGAAACAATCAGCTGTCGATTTAGTGTTATTCCCCTATCTATGAATATAAATCTCAATTGTAAATCTCACAGCTTATTAAAAGCAAATATTGCATTGGCTCAGATGGTAAAGAAATCTCAGATTATTATTCCTCCATTTGTGATGGTCTCCAATGAATAAAGCAGAAGATGTGATGGTTTGATCCTCATTCAAATGGATGGATATCTTCAAAGTTATGATTCCAGTCTGTGTTCCCCTGTCTTGTCCCATGTTTAGCAGTTCCCTTTAATGTCTATTAGTCTCCCCAGGTGTCTTTGATTAACCATGCCTCCTTGTTATCTTGTTTAGCTTGTTTGCCTGCATGTGTATTTAAACCCTGTGTCTAGTTCAGTCTTTGCGAGGTCTTAATGTTGTATGTTCCTGTTCATGGCACCAGAAAACATGGCATTTCAGTATTTGTCACAATTATTCCATTATACATAAAGTGATCTTGTAAATATTCAAATAGATCACATTTTATCTTGAAGAAAAACATACCAGAACATTAAATTGGCCTACCTCTTGGCCTTATAATCCTTGGCTGCCACAATCACACATATCACCAACATCAGGACAGCAACAGCAACAACAACACCTATGTGAAGTCTGGAAGGTTTCTCTTTTAAAAGAGAAAGCATTTAGAATCAAATCAAAACATTAAGATTTTATCTGATACTTTCCATTTCTGAAAAAGCTCATTACCTAAATCAATGATCAGTGTCTTGTCCAGACTGAGGTGTGTGGCAGAGCAGCTGTATCTGTGTGTGTCTGCACTGATCTCCAGACTCTTCCTCATCTGGTACGTCCCGTCACCATTGGGCAGCAGATCTCCTCCAGTGATCTCATGATCAGATACAGGCTGTCCATCTCTGAACAGGGTCAGGTTGATGTGACGAGGGTAAAATCCTGTTGCCAAACAACTCACACGAAACCCTCCTGAGTTTTCTTTCTGAAAAAATGTGATTTTTGGATCTGCTGTGGAACAAAAAAAGAGTGGTTATTTTACTCTACATCAAAGAACTTTTGACAGCTTGTTAATGTGAAGATTTTAGGTTGACACTAAGAATATTATTTCAGAGCCTGCTAGATTTTGTTTAAACATATGGACTTTATAATGGCAGATATAAAAAGAATTCCATGCACTGTAAAAAAAAAAAAAAAATCCCGTTAAATTTACGGTAAAAAACTGGCAGCTGTTGTTACCAGAAATTTACCGTAAAATATGCGGTAGCAGCATTTTAGGTTTTAGACGTAATAGAAAATTTACAGTAATAAACCGGAATTCATTATCTGATATGCTGTTATATTACCGACATATGGAAGTATTAGTATCTGTTTTGTACCATTGACAACCATCAATCACAGCAGTAATGAGAGTCATATGATCAATCTAAGCTCATCACAAGTAGCTTTCCACAAGAAAATTATTACTAAAGAAGCTGCACAGTGTCATTCACACAAACATTAAACACCATCATACTCTACTTGACATGTAGGTGCAACTGTACTTAGAGTCAACAGAATATGTTAAAGGGACCATAAAAACAATTCTTGAAGTTTTGCATTTGGTGAGCTAATAAAACATTAAAACAGCTTTAAATCAATTAAATCAACATTTTTTGTACACTCATTTAATTGTGTCATCCGGGGTATCGTGGACTCACTCTCTTGTTTCATAAAAACACAGCTACAGTACCATTTTGCAACGATTGTTTTGTACACTGTAATGGATTATCAGATAACAAACAGTTACAATTTTAAAACAGTTTAATCTCAAATCAATATCTCTTATCCCCATAATTATTTATGTGGTGAAATGCAGTTTAATAAGTGTTATGACTGCACTGTATCCCTTAAATGTCTATCTAGTTTGAACTTGCCGGAAGCTTTGCATTTATAGACCTAATAAAATATTTCAACTCAAGTAAATATTTCATGTCTAATTATTTAAGTAGCCATGTAATGAGCGGGATAACATCCAGCCGGTTGTTATCGCAGAATAAAACCCTTCAGTCTGATGCAAGACCTGCTGATCCAAGTCCTGGGGCCTCATTTATAAATGTTGCGTACGCACAAAAGAAGGCGTACGCCGCTCTCTACGCAATAATTGGTATTTATAAAAAGCAAACTTGACGGTAAAATGTGTGGTCCTTCACGCAAGCTCTGACCCAGGCGTACGCACAAAAACGGGTGAAATGAGAAATGGCGACACCGTCGGCAGATGGAAGAAACACGTGAAAGTGTGTGAAACTGTAGACCGTTGTGTAAAATAAATGGCAATACTGCCTCTCATAAATAACACGAAGACTTTACAAAGCAAGTATTACAATTAACAGCCTACACGAACACCCGTTTGATCGATCTGCAACAGAAATGCAAATTAACACATATTTGCAAACAGAAAAGTGAAATATGTTCTGCAATAATATTGCCATGTTATAGCCTACAATTCATCCTCATAAATAAGATGGTAAACAGAACGAAATAATGTACAAAACTGATATTCTCGCCAATGTGTCCGTCAGGCAGAGCAGATATAGATGCAATTAGATAGATAGTCAGATAGATAGATAGATAGATAGATAGATAGATAGATAGATAGATAGATAGATAGATAGATAGATAGATAGATAGATAGATAGATAGATAGATAGATAGATAACACACATGAAATTTAAAAAAATGCAATAAACATTTATTTAACAATTTTAAATGTAACCAAAACTATGAAGAAACAGTTATTTCAACAAAAATACATCAAATGTGAAGTGAAGTCATGCAGGGATTTGTGGGAATGTCAATTTACGGTTTTTCACTGTAAATGATACAATGACTTTTGTTCTTTTTCACTTACAAAAAATATTTTACAGTGAAGGGTTGGTCAAAATCCCTTGCCTCTTCAAATACATATAATCATATATCATTTTGAATGGTTGTATACTTCCTTTATAAAAATCAATAATCAAATATATTCATTATCACATAATAATTTTTATATTCTTTGTGCTTGTGAAATTATATTTTCTTAAATGCATGGATGTAAGTAACCAGTTTCTTTTAGGTGCATTCCAATCTTACTTTGAGATTGCACGTAGTACACGCAGGACACGAAGGCCACGTAACCCACAAGGCCGTTTGTCTCTTTCTCTTTCTCTGGGATCAGTAGAAAGGTTTATAGAGGGTCCTAAAGGCAGCGTGGACACATATGATCCTTCGTTGGCCATATGGTCAAGCTATTGAGCGTTACTATATCGAACTTTAATTGTTGTATTAAAATGTATTCTTTCCAGTATATTTCCTTCCTTGGGAGTAAATGCCAGTTATCTGTTTTTCTCCCAAACGAGTGAAGGTTTTAGCAATATGTTTTGGTATACTTGACTGATAATAAGGAGCTCAGACTCTCTTCAGCCTTGATGGGAGCTGTTATTTGCTAGTGTCTGTTATTTGTGTGTGTGTGCGTATGACATTCTATGTAGGTTCTGGACGTTCGGACCAGACACCCCGGCGCCCTTCTCTAACCTGCGAGGCCACCACAGACCTAAATCTAATGAGTGGACAACAACTATCTTGACTAATGGCGATAGGCACCCCTATCTCCTCACATGTGTTAAATTGTTTAGGCTCTTAATGTTTCTTAGCCAATGAGAATCATTCAACCTGTAAGCAATGACGTAGCTTAGACCTTGGAAATGGTATAACTGCTGTGATCTTTGTAACTGTAAGTGGGGCGGCCTACGAACTCCTGTGTGAGTCTTGAAGCTGACTTCTGCTGGTGAAAATGCAAACTATCTTCAGTAAAACTTTTCTTTAATTTTTTATAATTCTGACTCCGGGTCTTCATTCTTCATATCTGGTTCTGGGTCTCTGACTGTATACCCCTTACAACAGTAAAATTACATTAAATGTACCGTTAGATCTATCAATGTTATTTACCATATAGTAAGGAAACTTTCTGTTAAAAAATTAGCAGTTTTTCACTGTAGCATTTTTACATTTTCACTGTAGTCTTTTACCGTTAAAATCACGATAATTTTTTACAGTGTGGTCATCATAAAACAGAAACAAACATTTTGAATATTTATAGGATAAAAACTGGCACTTTTAACACAGTTCACATCAGCTAAAATGTTTGTCATAAGCGGCCTTGAGTACTTACCCTTTTTATGTACTTCATTTTGTCTCTTTTTTAGGTAATTCTTGAGAGTACTTATACAAACTGGTAAATAGAACTGTATATATTTTAGTTTGAATTCTTCTAAATGAGGTTTGAGCACATCTTGTGAAATATTTAAAATCACTTTATAAGTAAACTTGTTGTTAAAGTAACAGATCTCATCTGTGGTACAGCCTCTGGCCGCATCTTTTGTAAGCATCTTTCCAGTATTGTTGAAGTCCAGCAGCTCACACACAACCAGTGTCTGATAAACATCAAGACCTGTGAGGGAAATTAGGGAGATTGTCATAGACTGGCCTCCCTCATCATCACACAGGCAAACTATTTTCAAGAAAAGGTTAATTAATTACAAATTAATTTTATGCCTCCAAAGATATTAAAATACATTGTAAGACATTCTAAATATGCTTATCATAGATTGTATGTATAATTCGATTAATACAGGAAGACAAAAGATTTGCGTCACGTCATTGACTCACGTCATTATGTGTATTTGTGTAAGGATACTTACTGTCATTTTGGCTGTCTTGCCTTAACAGTGCAGCTCTTCTCAAAAAGGAGTTATACATGTAGTCACTTATACCCTTTATGTAATCTGAATTAACCACATCATCCTCATTCGTCGTATTTCCTCTTGGAAAATACGTCCCTGACTTATAGTATCCAACTGTGATGTCATCCAAAGTTGTTGTGTAACTAAATTCAGGAAATTGTGTTTCTCCTTGAATGTAAGTGGAAAGCAACCACAAAGAGTGGCCTGGACCTGAAACACAACACGGTTGTTGTTGTTGTTGTTTTAACAATAAGTAGTGATTTTCTCTCTATTTCTGCATCTACTCCATCTAGAATATACAGTTTAAACCTTGAGTCTTGAATGATTTGACTTATCAAGCTGTCAGCATACATGAGTAATGCTCTATGAAGATCAGTAGGGAGATGGATAACATCTTGAATTTAATTAATTGACTATATTGCTATAGCAGTAGGTATACGTTTTAACAAGTCAACCTTTTGAAACTTACCATTTGAAGCAGATGTTGGAGGTAAAAGTACAAGTAACATGATAATTCTATCCATATGCCCTGCATTCTTTCAGTCTCTCGTGTTTTAGAAAATTATGTGCACATTTTTAAACTAGTATCTCTTAAAGTACGTTGTTCATCGAGTGTTGCCGTCGAATACGAAAGAAATTAGTCTTAATTTTCCTGTTTAACTGCCTGCAAGGATATTTCATTTTCCTCATTCCATTCTATTTTGAGCATTAAACCACACATGCACTGTTGTTACCTGTCCGCACAAGCATATATGAAGTCATTATTCATAAGCTACAAACTCAACCAAAGTTGAAAGGTGATGCTACTGTTTTACAGTATTGTAGAACCTCACAGTGTGGATCGTCTCTGCTCTAGAGGAGGATAACAAAATTTAAGCATGAAATACAATATGTATACAAAAAAAAAGATATAAATTATAAAAGTTATTTAAAATATTTTTTCATTCCATGGTACAGGAATGTGCAGTAGCCTATGATAATCGTTTTGTTGTTCTGAAAGAAAGTTTCACTCACAGTATTTATTTTAATACAGAACAATTTTTTTATTTAACAAACAATTGAAATTAACTGGATAAACAAAGTACTTTAAAAGTTGTTGTTTTTCTCAATAAACACAGTCCACCTGGTAATGCTTTCTGGTTGACAAAAAAAATGTTTTATGTTATTTTCTATTTCATCACACATAGAGATAAACAGGAGACTGACATCATTTGGTGTCTAATATTTTTAAGCAGATTCAGCCACCAGCCAGTCTGTGATTTCTTGTTGGTTTTCAGACACCCATTTTATATTTGCTTTAGTCTTCTCAATGGCCTGTTCCAGAGCTGCTGTCCCTGATCCAAAGCCGATCGCTGAATTCTCACTCTTAAACTGCAGAAGCTTTTCACATGTAGAGATAGAAAGAAAGAAAAACCCCAGAAATGTATAAATAGAGTTAGAGTTTAATAGTTTAGTCAGTTGTTTGAATTCAATTCTTACAATATTACTGTTTTGTGTATTAATACAAAATACACACCTGCTCAAGTTCTGATTCAGTTGAAAATGTTTTGGTTGTACCACTTATAAGGCTGGCAAAGTTGAAGGACCCAACACCATACCTAGCAACACAAAATCATTTTGTTTAATCACATTAAAACTCCATTTTAAATTAATAAAAATGAGCATTTCTATATGGGTATGTGTGTTGTTCATAAAGCTCACTCTGTGAACATATACGCCCAGTTCTTCCTCACAAAGTCCCAAGCCAATGTCTGACCATCTGGGTTGCCGGCAATATCCACAATGATAGAGGTAGCATCCTGTTTACGGATCATTGATGCATCAAGCGTGTACTCAAGGTACCTATATTTATGACAATAAAATAAATTATTCCTTTTAAAATTTTCTGTATGTTCCCAAAAATACTATCTTGCAAACCTTTCTAAAAGCACGCGATCTTTTGCACAAGCCAAGGATGACATGAGTTTGTCAGCTTCTATCGCGATGGTGGCGTTCTTAAACATCTGCCAGCCAAAGTCCCACTCTTCAGCGCCCCCTGTAGCAATAGCGCTGCAGTACACTGTAGACCTCAAATTGGGGTGAATCCTTTCAAAAAGAGAACTGAATTAGATCAATGAAATAAATGTGGATGCATAGACTGAGAAGACTTAGTCTGTAGATTGTGTTTGTCTTGCATATCTCCTGCAGTATAATATTGGATTGCTTGACTGGAAGATTAAAATATTTAGTGCCCTCCCTGTAGAGTGGGAAAACTTACGGGTTGTGGTTTGGTTGGTCCATCCACTGTCTGTACCAGCCTGTAGTGAGATTCTGACATTCCTTTACACCAGTGCTGCAGGCAAATCTAATGGCATTAACTTGATTGTACCTACACAGTGGAAAAAGAATAATTAATATGTGCCAGTAGTTTATGATTTCCCTTAATAAAGATCATTTCAGCAATAAATAAATAAATAAATACATATATATATATATATATATATATATATATATATATATATATATATATATATATATATATATATATATATATATATATATATATATATATATAAAATAAAAAATATTGACATGAAATGAAAATGTCATCATTGATTACATTTAAAAAAAGTTATGGATTCTTACTGGTCTGTATGGCTAGAGGGCACACGTGACCAATCTTCAGTAATATTCTTGAAATGTTCAAAAAGTGGGGTCACCTGCTTCTTAGTGTAGTTCTACAACAAGAAATTCAAAATTCACACTAATCTGGAATCAATATACCTATATCAATATAGCTCAGCCACATTTTCTAAGGAAGAATGTTTTTTCAATATATATGAAGTATTTTACAGACCTGTAAAAGTTCATAGACATCGGTTTGTGTAAACATGAGGTAGAAATAATCCAGGTTGTTGAGAGCAGACTGCCATGGCATATATTCCTTTTCTTTAATTAAGTATTTTGTAGTTTTTAGCGCTACAGTGACAGGAATTATCTTTGCCCTTGAAAAAGAGTTATAAAATAAATTTAAATTAAAAATTATATTATATTTTTCAACAATTATATTTTTTATCTCCTTATCTCTTCTTAATTATCTATATTTTTGCTCTATGTAATTTTACCTTGCAAGGTTAAATGCATCATCCACTATCTGAGCTCTGTTTATAACTGGGATGACCTTTAAAAAAATAAAATAAAGAGATAAATGTGGTCAGATGTATTAATAAGAACTGTGTCTGTGATTTCAATGACACGTCTCTGTCTTTACCTCATGTTTCTCAGTCAGTTGATTCAGGAGACGCTCCCAGTTCTCAGTGTCATAGTTCACTCTGTAATATCCTGTGATGTTCAGATTCACCAGCACCCACTCATTTCCAGTCGTCTTCATATCATTGTGAAAACCTACGAATAGATTATCATTTTAGTTCATTTATTATGTTATATAGGCCTAAAGATATATGGATCAAAATAGTGAGTTTGTCCCATTCAGAGCCTGGTGAAAGAGAAAAATGCCACCATAAAAACAAAATAATTGGCAAATTATTTTTGTTAATACCAGTTCTTTCCAGGAGCCAAAAGCGTGACTGCTCCACCTCTGCCTTCATCCAGTTGATGGGTACAATCCATTCATAACTATAAAAATCAGTAAAAATAGACATAACACTAAAGAAACCAGATTTAAACACAAGACTATCTGCTCAGGTAGCTTAGGAGATGAGTTTAGGCCTACTTGAATGGAGATGACCTCTCCACTAAAGACTCAGGATCCAAAAGGAAGTGCATCTGAGAGATCTGGCCTGTCGTAGTGTTGACTGTGACTACCGGGAAGCCCATCTGAAGAACCCAGCGGTCCATGATTTCTTTGACTCTTAAGGGAAGAACTGTTCCAGTTTTATCAACAGCCTAGAGATATTAAATGAGAGTGATTAATCAACCAACAGAGGGCAGTACTGACAAACGTTTTGAGTTCGTTTGGCATTCTGAGTAAATTTTGTTGTTATGTAAATATTAATGTATGAGGTTACTTTTTTGATGCAACTCACAGTTTGAAGGTGATTCCACAGATCCTCACCGACTGTATTTTGATAGGCGAACATGGTAAGATATGTCTTTTGGGGGGGGGGATCACAGATATCAGAAATATTATATATATATATATATATATATATATATATATATATATATATATATATATATATATATATATATATATATATATATATATATATATATATATATATATACATGTAGCCTAATCATCTGATGTAACAACTGCATTGTAATTTGCTCACATTTAGTCCTTGTACGAACACAGACTCTGTAAGGAAGTCTGACAGCATTCTCAACACCGACGCCCCCTGCAGGTTAACAGAGAAAAAAACACTGAGTTTGAACTTTGATGCTAATCAATGAATTTTTTAAAGTGAAGGCTATCATACGTCCAGCACCTTACTGTAGGAGACCGTATCAAACTGCTCATTGATCTGCTCTGGTTTTATAATATCTTCCTCCTCAGAAGACAGGGGATGGGAGGAGGCCAGAGCATCCACAGCAAAAACACGGTGTACGTCTTTAAGGATGATCAAATCTTTCTGTAGGAGCGTTAAGGGAGAAAGAATATGTCAGCAAGCAACAAATGAGTCTTTTTTATTATTCATGTTCTTATAATTAAGAATATATATTGTTTTCACAACTTTCAAAAAGAAGAACAAAATATAGAGATTGATAACGCAATAGTCAGAAGATCAAGACAATACCGTCACCCCCACAGCAGCGTTAACTAGGTTTTTTTGTAACTTGATGCAAAGGTAATATTACACAAATAATGTTATAAATATTCATACATAAAACAACTTTAGGCTATAATTAAAAATAATAATTATGTAATTTGTTTTGCAGTAGGACGATGGTGATGTCCGTTTAAGCGTCATCACAGTCTGTGTGAGGTTCAATGGTTGCCTGAGGAAAATTACAAAAGGCGCGAGTAACGTGTCCCCTGAAAGTTTTTTTCCCCCATTCCACCATAGAATGTAAAGGTCTCCAGACTCTCCACCTATTTTTTTTTTTTTACAGTATGGTCTCCACACGGGTCAGGGTCACCAAAATGAAGATGTGTCACGGGCCGCATTTCAGCGACAGGTAGCTATTGTTTCCTTTTAAATTTTGCAAGGCAAATTTGCTAAACTACTATTTTGTCATATTTTGTGATATGAAGGATATGAATATGACATTAGTTTAATGCAGTAATACAAAAAACACTTTGAAAAAGGTGTCAATAACTGTTTATGACTGGTAAATGTTCTCAATTGACCAACCATTGGCAGATGCATAGGTCTAAGTTAATTACCGGTAGTGTGTGAAAGTTGTGAACACTCACCACATTCCAGGATGGTTCAGCAAAGTCTGCACCAAGATACGACACATAAGAGGCAAAACCTTCATTCAACCAAACTTCATTCCACCATTTTAGAGTCACAAGGTTCCCAAACCACTGACCATAAACACAAACAAGCCATAGTATTATTATAAAACACATAGTATAGCCACGTAAAACCTCTCATATCATCCTTTTATAAATGCAAGTACCATGTGAGCCAATTCATGGGCTATAATGGTGGCCGTTCTCTCTTTGTTTGCATTAGAGGAGATGACTGGATCATATAGAAGGTTTGTCTCCCTGTAGGTCACCAGCCCCCAATTCTCCATCGCCCCAAAGTAAAAATCAGGCAGGGCAATCTGGTCTTCAAGGTAGAGAATTAAAAATCCTTACAAAAAACTTTTCCCAAGGCAATAATATTCA